ATGACAGTGTGGACTTCTAGTAAACATTAATCTTATGCTTTCCCTCATTAATTTCTTGCCTTTTAAGAAAAATACTCAAGTACAGATCAAGTTCACTCCCTCACTGGATTAAACACAAACAAATACTCGGTGTGGCTACATGCTTTAAAGCAGAATGGGGCTGAATTTCAGCCCATCAGCACTCCTTGAACTAGCATCCTTTTTTGTTGAGAGCCACAGTTAAGTCGGAATGATGCCTGGCATTTAGCCAGAGGGAATGATTGAAAGGTGACCCTGCTCCCGGAATAGGGCAGCTCAGGGATTACGGCAGATCCTGCTGCCTTTGGTGCCCCTACTTTGGAGTTCCCATTGAGTTCTCCCTGGGGTTCCGTGAGAATTGGCACGAAGAGCCCGGTGGAGGGAGTGTATTCCCAGGAAGTGTGAGTAGACTGCCGGTGAGAGTTCGGGAATAAAGAGTTGCTGTTTGAACCTACAAGGCTTTGTGGCAGCTCGGTTATTTTGTGCCCAGCCAGACTGCGGCACTTTTTCTAACTCGCAAAAAGATACTACATGCCTCTGTAAAGAACTGATGTGTTTTAGAAACAAACTCTGCCCATATGTATTTCGTGTGTTATGGGGAAACAGATAATCAAGAATTAAAATACGCCAAGATGTGATGGCGTATGCTTGTAATCCCAGCAACTCAGGAGGCCGAAGAAGGAGGATCACAAGTTCCAGGCCAGCTTCAGCAACTTTATGAGCCTGTCTCAAGATAAAAAGAAAAGGACTGGGGATATAGCTCAGTGGTAAAGTGCCCCTGGGTTCAATCCCCAGTTCCCACCTCCACAAAAGAATTACAAAACAATAAGTGCTATTATTAGGGAAGATATTTAGATCAGACATATTGGGGAGTTCAGGATCTACGACTATAAGGATGAGGGAGATTTTAGGGAACTGAATATCTACTAAGTGCCATGCACTGTTCCAGTACTGAAAATAAAGTAGAGAATACAACACACTAGGTCTTTTTTCTCAATTCTAACATTCTAAAAGGGGAGCAAGACATCAATTACTGAACTAGAAAAATGCTAGGCACTTTAGGAGAATACCACAGGCAGGATGGTGGTGGGGATGAAGATGCTACTTTAGAATGGAGAGTGGGTAGGCCTCTTTAGGGAGGTGTCATTCAAGACGAGATCTGAATGGCAACCGTGGGAAGCTCAAAAAAACGATCATATCAGGCAGAGACAGGAGCTGTTGCAAAAGTCTTAAGCAGGGAATGAACTTTGAGTTTTTGAGTTGGCAAAGAAGATCAGTGTGGCTGAAGTTCACTGGGTGTGAGGAGGGGCAGGAGGTGAAATGAGAAGATTAGCAAGTTAAGCCTTTATGAGACCTGGAAACTTGAGCCTGGCGATCTTGGAGAACTGCTAGGAGTTCCATATAGCAGAAGGGAAGGGATATGTCAAGTGATGAAAGGCGATTCAGGAGATATAGAAAAGAACCAGATTCTGACAAACTACATGAAAGATCTGGGACACATTTAATTTTGCTAAATGCTATGCAAAGAATCAGAAGGAGGCTATAACTAAAGTATTCAAAGAAAACCTTTCATGGTTATACCTTTCAGAAAGGTTTGAATATATGTGCTACTTGTTCTTGAATCAAAGTCCTCTACATTACAGTTTGTAATTCTTCTCAACCTAAATTTTGTTTAATGGAACACTTGTTTTTGCAATATTTGAGTATACTTACCACAAATGGTAATACCTGTTAGATGGAATGTTAAAGTAAATCATGTTTTATAGGAGGAAAATACTTTTTATTATGATTAAGTGGTAAGAGCACATAATGTCAACTTGGTAACAAATACGTTATTTATTTGTTAGAGCATGGCAGAACTTTGCCTTATATACAAGGCAGATATTACTATTTGTCTGCCTTAAATACATGATTTCTCCTTCATTATTATCAGTAGAACCTCCAATTTGAATACCAAAGAGATCAACTAAAACTATCTTGCCAGGTATGGTGGCATATGTCTGTAATTTCTGCCACTTGGGAGGCTGAATCAAGAGAATCACAAGTTTGAGGCCAGCCTCCGCAACTTAGCAAGACCCTATCTCAAAAAAAAAAAACAACAACAATAAAAAAAATATAATATATATATGGGGCAGGAGAATGTAGCTTAGTGGTAAAGAACTCCTGTACACTATTAATAACTCCTAAGTACCAAATAAAACAACACAATGAAAAACTTGTCTTCTAATTTCCCTTGCAGCTAGGGATCATCATATGACACAGCTTTGGCCAATGAGATGAGATGTAGGTAGAAATCCTTGGGGAAGGTATTATTTCCTGAATCAAAAGGAAAAGACTGACTAGGAGAAAACTCCTTTATTCTATTCCCTATTGTGCTTCCCCTTTCTTGTTGGCATTTGTAATTATTTGTTGACCTGCTGTTTGGAGTCTTGTAATTAATTTCTGTAAACATAATACAAAATAGGCCATGTTGAATTGAAAACGACTATCACATGAATATGGCTAAATCTTTTTGATACTTGTATTTATCCAGAGCTAAACTAGATATTTACATAATAATTACATAATAATGTAATGACATGTATGTAACAATAGGTATAGAAAACAATTTGTACCCAGTTTGACTGTTTTCTGTATTGAAGACCGTTTTCTGTATTCAAGGCCTAGAAAACAGTTTGTAAATAATTCTGTAAACATTCATTTAATGTATACTATCTATAATTATGAATAACACTTCTTTAATGTGCCACAGGGAATATGCAGGGATGATGTAAACAGGTTTTTGTTTTGAGGAAGCCAACAATTTCATGAGATGACAGATGTGTTCACAAATCAATGTAAAACAAGTATGTATATGATGTACTCTGAATAGGCTGTCCAAGAAGAGTCTCTAAGTGGGAATGAAGGAATATTGAAAAAAAGGGGTTGCCTCAAACACAGGCAAAGCACAATTTTCAAGGCCTAGAAGCCAGACCAATTATTAGGCCTGGGTGATGGGATTTACAGAGTAGCTAAATTTTTGTCTTATGTATGTTGTTTCTAGATGAAGAGCCTGGGGTTAAGCAGGTATTGAGTCTATAGTTCTATGATCATTCATCCTAGAGACATCTCACTGCATCCATGGGGACCAAAGCTCCTGGATTTCAGATGTTCCTTGTACCAGATACAAGGGAATTGATGGAAGCTTTGTCCACCAACTGGCATCCTTGTCTGGTTTACATGCTGTGTGCAATTTACTAGCTCCTTCAGGATTAAACAAAGTAAAAGCAACCCTAAAATGGTGCCCTTTGAACACTATCTTGGAGTAGACTGTGTGGCCTGTGGGGATGTAATTAGTGCCATTAGAACACTAAAAAGCAAGTTAAAGAACTGTGAAGAACAGATTCTGTGTGAAGCCTTCATGAAGGTGGCAGCATTTGATCTAGATCTTCTGAGATGACAAGACTTAATATGAAAATCAGAGGAAGGGCATTGCAAGAACATGAAACAATATAAATGATGAAATCGAAGTGAGAGAGCAGAGCTGTGTATTGGAAAGGAAGAGCAGTCCATTTTAGCTGAATAAGATGTGTATGGGGAAACTGGAAAGGGAATAAGGGTCAGGCTAAGAGGATTGGCATTTAATATGTCAGTAAGGGGAACCTTGAAATATTGTAACAACTATTAAAGTGGGAGGATAAATAAAATAGGGGATATGTGAGTAAGTTTCACAGAATCATTGGGTATGAAACACGCACATGAAGTCTGGGAGCCCAGACATGAACTGAGGCCACATGTGATTAGTGAATAAGACACGAATTTGAAAGCTTTATTTTAAAACCAATTGTTTTGCAGGAACACTAAAGAGAGAGGAACCATGTATGAATTTTTCGGAATTTGAGCATATGGGAAGATAATAATATAGTAAAGACAGGAAGAGGGAAACACAGTATTGGACAGCCAGGTGAAAATGTCCTACAGGTGGTTAAAAAATAAGCGAATGGAGCGCAGGTGAGAGGTGGAGTAGAGAATGAGTCACCTACACTGAAGTGATTCAGAGTTTGGTCTGTCATAAACATAGTATAGGAACCTAATAACAGGCCCTAAATAAAGGGCAAATGTTTAACAAGGAAGACAGAGATCTTAGAAGCACCTCTAGAAAACAAAACAAACCCCACCGAGATTATTGATATTTATAGTTCATGTTTGTTTTACCAGCTGTTAAATTCTCGGAAGCTCTTATCCCAAACTGACCTTCTAACTGGCAGGAAGGACTGTCAAGGGCAAATTCTTATATGGAGATTTGACACCAAATTGCCAGGTATTTTAAGTCTAGAATATGACATATACCCGAAATGACACAACTAAAGTGGACAAAAGCATACTGGACTGGGGTGGGGGGGCGTATGTATGGGAGGAGACGTATTCCTGAACCACAGTTCAAATGTAGGTACTGATGATTGTTAAAATTAATCCAAACACTATCACAGAAAAGTTCTCAAAGAGACAGATGGTTGTGCTTGGGCAGAGATCCCTGCGAAGCAGGGGTAAGGTTAAAGAAAAGAACTAGAGTGGCCAAGAAAGAGTAGCACAAGTGATTGCGTAGCTCCCAGTCTGAAGGCGGCTCTCATTACCAAGCATACTTGCGGGATGGATCACCGGCATGACCACATTAGTTAATACCAACGCAGGCGTGCGCCAAGCACAGGCGGGGTCACACTCAGCGAAGCAAGAAAGCAGAAAAGCCCCTTGGGGGCAGCTGGGCGGAGCCGGAGGCCCCACCCCCGGGCCTACTAYATTTCCCTAAATTCCGCGCGGCCGCGAAGACTCTCAGGGCGCGGAACTAAGACTTGCCGCATGGGATTGGGAGTCAGGTTACACGCGCCGCCCAAGTGGACGCTAGTGGGGAGATCTGAAGGGATTGGCTAGTGAGAGTTCGAGTCCCGCCCACATATGGTGACGACAGGCGGTCGTCTGGCTACTTAAGGCGTCGTGGTCTCGCCCGCCCCGCCTTAGCTCCCGCGCTAGAGAGAAACATGTATCGTTTCCGATCACAGCTCTTCACGGGGATTTCTGCTGCCGCCACCGCCCATTTTTACCCCCGCCGCTTCTCGCCTCTGTTGTTAGCCGAAGACTCGCCTCTCAGCCGCCCGCCTCACAGACGTACGAGTAGAAAGTGCAGCTCCATCGGCTGATCCTCGCTAAACTCCGAGTTTAGACGGCACCGGGCGTCCCACGATGCCGAAGAATAAGAAGCGGAACACTCCCCACCGCGGTGGCAGTGGCGGCGGCGGCTCAGGGGCAGCTGCAGCAACGGCAGGTAAGGGGTATCCCCGCCACGGCGTCCTGGTGCCGGCCGGGTTGGCGAGGCTCCCAGCTCGGGGCGAGTGGGAGTTGTAGTTCCGTCTTGCCTTAGGACGTTTGYGTCTCCCAGGCGCGTGGTGTGGCTGGCAAACTACCGTTCCCAGCATTCCCTGGGCGCCGTGCCTCGCGCGATTTGGTTCCGGCGTGCGAATCACACTTCGGGAACCGGCCGCTAGGGCAGGGAGGAAAGGGCCCTTGGGCTTGAGTGTGTGTCTGGATGAAGGTGCTCTGGAGTTGTGTGGGAAAGGAGCTGTCCCCAGAGACTACTGCTAGTTAGCCCTAGATGACCAAGAGCGGGATAGAGGTGGAGTTGCGCCCGTGCTGTCACCGGCCGCCTGTGAATCCCAGCTTCAACATGGAGTTCTTAGGAGTGCCAAACGTCTGGCGGGTTTGGACCCTCTCCTGCGTCACGCGGCCTGGACCTTACGCTATGCGGCCGGGATGACGCAGAGGCGATGACGCAGAGGCGCGCGAGTGGCTTCCATTCTGCTGCGTTCCAGCGCATCCTGCGTGTTTCACCTGGCGGGGCGGAGACGTCGGAGGATGCGGCCACMGCCCCACCTTTGGTTGGGACCTTACTCAGTACTGGCACCTGCAGAAGTCACGCGCCCCTGCCCCACTGCGGCTAGTCGAGGCGACCTCCTATTCCCCCAAGCAGAAACCGCGTTCACCTTTAGTGCTGCATTCTGTGGGTTCTCTGCAGTGAATCAGGTGGCAAGGAACTCAGTTTGCAGTTGGCGAAAAGTTTAGGGTTTGGGGGCCTTTACTGCAAAGTAGAAGCTTTTCCTAATGGGTAGGTGTTAACTGTATTTACTTATAATACGGTTAAGAAAAAATTCCCATCTGAAAGTCAGTCCTACAAGACACCACACTAATCTCAGTTAAAGTAGTCTAAAACTGAACACAGTCATCTCATTTAGTAATTGTTGAAATTATGGAGTTGAATATTGGGATGTCCTCGGAGATCATCCAGCTAATATTAGCCATTGGGTATTTGTTGACACAGTTGCCACTCTTTCTGATCCTCAGAATGATATGCCTTTGATTAAATAGTAAATATACCTTATCTTGTTACAGATTATTGGAAACCTTATGGCAGCCTGAACACTTTTGATCATGTATTATACACTTAATAATTGACATTGGAAATGGATGATTACAAATTCAATCCTTCTTTATGTTGCTATCCTGATTGAAAGCTCTCCATTTTGGTGAAATTTATTCTTCATCAAGTTGCTTTGGGCCAGCTGAGGATACCTCTTATCCTCTGTTTCAGTGTTCCTTATTTGAAATACACATTTCAATTCTGCCTAGAAGACCATAATTTTATTTTTTGTGTGTATTGATGAAATGGAAGTAATGAGAAGCAGCAAGCAAACTGAAGTTTGGAAATTAGTAATAGTGGTCTTTATGAATCACAAACATTCCCTTTTGAAGCTTCCTGGCATACCTCTTTCATTCCTTGTTCAGTACTTAACTGTAGAGGTGTCTGATGGCTGTAGGGGAATTGCCTTTAATATTTTGCCTCAAGGATGACTTGTGACCTGTCGGCCTTATCACAGCCCGCCTTTTTAGCAGAAAAGGTTCATTTAAACACTATTTTAGTATATAAAATACAAACATTTAAAACTCTTAATTTTTAGCACATACTGGCAAATAGAAAGTAATTCTTTGAATAGTCTATAAAATTACATGCTTCCCAAGTTTTTGGATGTTTACATTAGAATTTATTAACTCTGGTTTTCTCTTGTGAGTAGGACTGGGGGAGGGGTGGGTATGAGATTGGCTTTTTTTAACTTGATCTCATGGAATGTTTTGCCTATTTGATAAATATTAAGCAAGTAATAGTTGAGTAGAAGAGGTGGAAATTTCACAAACTTGAAAACCACTTATTAATTTTTAAAATAATATGTAGATGAATGAGATTTAAATGATGTCTCCACTATATAGCCAAATAGATGACCAACTTCTCTTTATCAGTTTAATGAACTTTCCATTGAGACTGGAAATTTCCAAAAAGCTAAGAAAATCTAATACAAGTATGCCCACTTATGGTGATTAAAAAAATATATATATATATAAAATTTTTCTTAGTTGTAGTTAGACACAATACCTTCATTCCATTCATTTATTTTTATGTGGTGCTGAGGATTGAACCCTGGGCCCCTCACGTGCTAGGCTAGCATTCTACTGCTGAGCCACATCCCAGGCCCAACTTGTAGTGATTTAAAGGGAGCAATTTTCAGAAAGGAAAAAAAATAATAATAAATCCTGTGGAAATAAGGACTTTATGTATCTAGAGTGCCACCTCATTAATAGGTGAGTTTGTGAGTTTGTCAAACTCACAAAGTTTGACCCAGATATCAGGCATTCATGCAGGGTTTTTCCCCTTGTTTTTTGTTTGTTTGTTTGTTTTTGTTTTCTTCTCCTAATCCCTCTTTCCCTTGACTTTGGGGAAAAAGGGGAAATGGAAACTGACTATATAGTCAAGAGAAGTTATTGAACTACTCTTAAAAATGGCTGAATATGAAAAATTAAAAATGTAAATTGATTAAAAATGTAAATTGAGTTGTAAAATTAATCAGGTGATGCTCAACTGTTGCCATGATTTCTAGTCATGAAGATAATGAAGATGGATCCAGAAATAGAGTACATTATCATAGATCTTTGTTTACTTCTATTTTAAGCACAGTGATTGTGAAATTTTAGGATCTTGGTTTCATTATTCTTTATGCTTTACTACTTTGGCAATAAGCAAGAAAATTGGAAGGCTACTTGCTATGTTAATTTAAAAATCTGCTAAGTTCTCTGTTTTGATTAAAAAGAAATAATGACATGCCCTATTTAAAAGAAAAATAACTCAGTTTAACTTACAGGATTTAAAAAATAAGGTAGTAAATAATATGAACTTTTTGAATGTAGGGTCTTTGTGATATTTGGTATAGTCTTTGATTTCCCAACTAAGAGAAATAGGGCTTAGGTAAATCAGGTGATTTGAAGGCACTCTTGGGGTAGAATTTGTAGCTCATTCTAGCGCATTCAGTGTTCAGTATAATTTATAACTGAGTAGCCTTTATTCCATCAAATATTTTTAATGGTGCATTGTTACCTATAACAATGGAATTTGTTWTTACTTATGCACACACAATATAATAATATAATTTGGCCAGTAGCTAGTTTTTTTTATTAATATGAAATTCCTAAGTTATCATGAATTTGTTCCATAAGTTGATGATATTGAAAGAAATATTCTAGTTTTTAAAAAAATTTTTTTTGTATTAATAGCATGGATATTTTTAAACTTGAGTATATTGGAACCTTAATTTAACAAGCTTTTATGACATATGAAATAGTAAAGTTTCTATTTGAAGCCTTTTCTCTCCCTCCTTTTAATTCAAATTATCTTTAAAACTACCATACCTTACCTCTAATTTAACATAAAATGTTAAAACTACCTTACCTTACCTCTAATTTAACATAAAATGTAGCCTAAATGTTTGCATATATAGCAACAAAATCATCTTTTTTCTTTTATCTAATAGGTGGCCAGCATCGAAATGTTCAACCTTTTAGTGATGAGGATGCATCAATTGAAACAATGAGCCATTGCAGTGGTTACAGTGATCCTTCCAGTTTTGCTGAAGATGGTATGAATTTTAAATATAATCTTCCAATTTGAGATAAAAAGTTGTTTTAGGTGAAGGAATTCTTATAGCTAAAGTATATTATACTTGTTCCTGTATCTGCTTTTTCCTTTCTTAAAATTACATTGATGGTTTATAATTATTCCTTAGGGCCAGAAGTCCTTGATGAGGAAGGAACTCAGGAAGACTTAGAGTACAAGTTAAAGGGATTAATTGACCTGACCCTGGATAAGAGGTAGGAAATACTAAAAACTCTCCATTCTGGGTGATTCTGATCAGCCACTTATAATTTGGGCAGTTCTGTGATATAGCAATGTTTTTCTGATGCTTTTTTGTTTACTTTGGAGGAATTAATGTTTTTTGTTCCTTTAGCCTATTAATGTGGGTAGAACTTGACGCTAGGATTTAGATCAATTTGAATTGGTCATTATTCTAGCATATATGTAACTGTATTTTGTTACAGTGGAAATAGATTTATTGAATTAAAGTTAATCTTCAATTAGAGATGATAATTAAACTTTGCTTTAAGCTGCCTGTCCACTGATTTTGGTATGGACATGAAAAATATCAAAGCTGTGTTGTTTTCTTTATAGTAGTTGTAGAACTTACTAAGGGATGGAATTGTGTAAAGCCCAGAAGATGCAAACATTGTAGTGTTAAAAATGTAAACTTACTATAATACTGGAGAAATCATACATTGAGACTGAAATATTATTCACTCAGAGTTCTGCCTATCAAACTAAAAAACAGAAAAATGTTCTAATATAAGCAGCTTAAAAATCTTTTATGTATTAAGGTAAGTTATATATGAAAATTACTGAAAAATGTTTAGGACTTGAAGATAATTTAGATTTAAACATTTGTCTAGTGGCAACATTCTCAACTAGATCTTTCTTGTTTTAAATAGTGTGAAGACAAGGCAGGCAGCTCTTGAAGGTATTAAAAATGTACTGGCTTCAAAAATGTTTTATGAATTTATTCTGGAAAGAAGAATGACTTTAACTGATAGCATTGAACGCTGTCTAAAAAAAGGTAATCACCCTTATTTTTGAGTAAGTGGCGCAGAATTAATGATGAATTTGCTGTCTTCTTTGCAATGACATTTGTTAATGACATTAGCAATTCTAGTTTAGTCTTTATGATAGTCAAGGAATATTGCATGCTTGTTATAACTGAGAATGAGATTTGTTAGAAACTTTTGTTTTTATTTATGTAACAAACATGGAAGGATTGGGTTGGATTGTCATCTTTGGTTCTATCCTAAGAGGTGATTGCTACTCTCTGGTTAGATATAGAAGTCTTGAAAGTGTGTATCAGACGTAAAGATGAAGTACTATTTCAAAAGACCTCCTACTTCATTTTCTAATTTGCACAAATATTATGTCATCTAGTTCATTTTCCCTTGCACTTATTTAGAATATCCATTGTACTTGTAGAAGATATCATTTTTTAAGATATCCCTTGGAATGTTTGCCTTCTAGAACTTTATAGTTCTAGAATTCTGGAATTTATATTGTTTCAGTGATAGAGCTTGTAAGGATAAAGAGAGACCTTAAAGATTCAGCTTATTATTACCAGACTTTTAGAAACCACAAAATTAGATAGATTATTATCTGCCAATTCACATATCTTGCCAAGCACATTATAAAGATAATTACCTTCTATCATTAATTTTTTAACAAAATACTATAGCACCAAAAATGTAGAAAGCACATATTTCTTTAAAGTGAATGAACTTTATGTTCTTATTTTTCTCATTTTGCTTCAGGATGGAAGCTTTGTCGTAAATGAAACCCTTGATTGATTTTACCCTCTCATTATACAGAATAAGGAAAGGCATTGGGAAAGCCAGACAGCTCTTAAGCCCATAAATTTTTAGTGGTATAGCTGATAGCAGAGCCAACTGTATTTGAGATAACACAGTAGCTTTTTTTTTTTTTTGCATGTATGGCCCTAAGGATTGAACTGAGCATGTGTGCCACAGCATCCAGTGTACGCAGTGACTTTTAAAAATATGCTTTGCATTAAAACTGTCTCGTAATGGTAGTTGGACTAGCTGAGTTTAAAAATTCCATTGAGGCCTACACATTATAGATTTTTGATTTGCAACGTAATAGATTTCTATTGCCTTACACCCTTTTGTGCATATGGTTCTCAAAAAAAATCRTTTATATGTGAATGTGGTTTCTATTTTTAATCCCTTATTCATTCAAAAAAAATTTTGAAGGGAAATCTGAAGGATTACCTCTTGGGCTGTGTATATATGAAATGCTTGGAGATTAATTCAAGGATTGCTTGAACAAGGTTCATTATGAATATCTTATGGAGTTAGAAGGCAGAAATTGACATGAAACATGTTATTTTGTTGAACCAATGTAGTACTCCCTTAAGGGCGTTCTTCATTTTACAGATGAGGAAAATCATCTATAACTAAGTGAAGATCATTTGAATAGTTAGTGGCTGGTCTAGGATTTGAGTGAGGTCTGTTTCTTAAGATTCACCACTGTGGCCTCACTGAGTTTATACCTTATGTCAAAGCCTGAAGTGTAGGAAGGGTTTCATAAATGGTAGATGCCATTTTGTATTTGAAAAAATTTGGGAATTACTATCTTAATAAGTTAGTCTGTTGAAAATAATTAGTTATGGTTGTATTTTGGCTTCTTTTGTAGGGAAGAACGACGAGCAGCGGGCAGCTGCAGCGCTTGCTTCTGTTCTTTGTATTCAGTTAGGCCCTGGAATTGAAAGTGAAGAGATTTTAAAAACTCTTGGACCAGTCCTAAAGAAAATAATTTGTGATGGGACAGCTAGTATCCAGGCTAGGCAAGCTGTAAGTATAAGATTTTTAATAAGTTTACAGATCTATCTAGGCTTGATGCCCAGACATAAACAGTAGATTTTTGTTAATGTTTTATTCTCATTTGTCCATTTTAGTGAACACAAACTCGGTATGATAGTTGTTTTCTTTAACTTTCTGACACTTTGAAGAGCATTCGATATAAAACAAATTCCTACATCTTTGAAATTGAAGATCATAATACAGATAAATATTATATTGAGTTATTTAGGGTTACTATAGAATAATTTTGATTGGCACTTAAAGAAATGATCTGGACTCTTTAATTGAGTAGTTATTTTTTATTACTAACAATGTTATTTTTTTTCTTTCTGATTGCTATGTCCTAAGTAAGTTCTTTTGAAAAAGATGAATATGGGTAGGCATAGCAATCTCTGAAACTCTGGCCTGTGAAATATTTATCTGTTTTGAAGTTTGAGAAAGCTTTGATTTTCTAATTGTTTGGCTACTTTCTTGGGGAGGGTGGAAACGGGGATTGAACTCAGGGGCACTAGACCACTGAGTCACATCTCCAGCCCAATTTTTGTAATTTGAAGACAGGGTCTCATTGAGTTGCTTAGTGTGCTTTACTTTTGCTGAGGTTAGCTTTGAATTTGTGATCCTCCTATCTCAGCCTCCTGAGCCACTGGAATTATAGACATGTGCCAGCACGCCCAGCTTAATTGTTTGATACTTTTTAATAATTTGGAAATTATTTAAGTTTTATGAGATTTCTACTCCTGAGTGCTTATTTCTTGGAAGTAGCTTCGTTCTACAAGTTTTCATATTGGTGTCTTTATAAAAACCAATGAAGGCCTGGGGTTGTCGCTCAGAGGCAGAGCACTTGCTTGGCAAGTATGAGGCACTGGGTTCGAGCCTTAGCACTACATAAAAATAAACAAATAAATGGCATCTGTCCATCTACAACTACCAAAAAAAAAAAAAACAAACAAACAATGAATCTAGGTGGTTTTAAAAATGTAAAAAACCAGTAACAGTCTTAATACAAAAGGTCCTTAATAGAATGGGCTTGTTTATTGCAAATGTCCAAGTTTCAGCTCCATCTTTAAGTTAAAGTTAAAGGTTGAAATGATCTGCTAGACACCTATACTGCATACAATAAGGAAACAATGGGAATAGTTAGTTCACCCCTTCAAACGCTTCACTCGCATAAGTTAAATCATAGACTGTGGGGCTAGAGTGGATTTAGAAATTAGGGCCTGGGGTTGTGGCTCAGTGGTAGAGTGCTTGCTTAGCATGTGTGAGGCACTGGGTTTGATTCTCAGTACCGCATATAAATAAATGAATAAAATAAAGGTTCATCAACATCTAAAATTTTTTTTTAATGAATACATTCATCACCCTTCAATTTTATGAATTAATAAAAGAACCAAGAGAAACAATCRCTTTCCTAAAGTTGTATGGAGTTTGGTAGCGGAGCATGAACTAAAGTGCACTTCCTTTGACTCTTGGTCTAATTCTTTTCTTCTCCCCTGCTTCGTGCATATACTGTCCTTAGGATGTCGTAGAGTCAGGTAGTTGAGAAAATTTTCATAYTGAATTACAAAAGTGCATGTAGAATTAATAAGAAAGCTAAGCATTGATCTCTATATGTTTTTTTTTTTTAATTTCAGTGTGCAACTTCCTTTGGTGTTTGCAGTTTTATTGCCACAGATGATATTACTGTAAGTAGAAAACTTTTGACTTCAGTTACATATGATTATTTCTAATTTATGATGGTTACTTTATGTCATATTCTTATTCAATAGGAGCTGTATTCAACTCTGGAATGTTTGGAAAATATCTTCACCAAGTCCTATCTCAAGGAGAAAGACAGTAATGTTATTTGCAGCACCCCAAACACAGTGCTTCATATCAGCTCACTTCTCGCATGGACATTATTACTGACTATATGCCCAATCAGTGAAGTAAAGAAAAAGCTGGAGATGTATGTGTTTTTAGTTTCATATTTTGTAAAAACATTTAGTCGACATAACTGTCGCATTCACATTGTAATGACTAACTATTTTTTAGGCATTTCCATAAACTTCCAAGCCTCCTTTCTTGTGATGATGTAAACATGAGAATAGCTGCTGGCGAATCTTTGGCACTTCTTTTTGAATTGGCCAGAGGAATGGAGAGTGTAAGTACATAATTGGCAGAGGAAAAAGCTTGTGCCACAAGGATTGTTATTCCAACATTACCATCACAATTAAGAACTGGATGATAAATTTACAGGATTGCTTAGTGAGAACCTTGTGATTGTGCTGCTTCTTAGCACTGATGATACTTCTGAGAGCATAAACCAATAGGAGTTTGGTAGAGCAATATTTGAGTATAGTTCATTATACTTTTTTACTATGTTGAATTGAAGTATAGGGGGATGATGTATTCACTGAGAAAGTTGTGTAATTTTAATGGAGATGTTTGGATTTCTCCAATACCTAACATATTAAGGTAACTTAATCATGTGATGCTTTATAATAAATATCAAATGAGTGAAGTATTAGGTTAACAGAGGTTTGGGATGAGATGACTTAAATCATTGTCATTTAACATCGCCTTTTTAGAGTGGTACATGTGCCTTCCCTATCCATTTTCTACTCATGGATGTTAGTTTCCATGGCTTGGCTCTCAGAGGTAATTGAGTTTGTTTTAGTTTGATAAGCTATCCCAGTTTGCTTGGAACCTTTTTGGGTTTAGCATTGAAAGTCCTGTGTTCCAGGAAACCCATTATCTCAGGCAAATTGGACTCTAGTTTGTAATTTCTAGTCTAAGGATTGCTGAAGAAAGGAATGCATCAGATCTTAACTACAGGAAGGGGAATTTTTTCTTAGATACATGGTTCAGATAACGTGCTGTTGTATGCCAGCTGGGTGCAGTGGCCAGGAGACTGAAGCAGGAGGATCACAGGTTTGAGGTCAGCCTTGGCAAGACCATGTCTTAAAAGTAATAAAAAAAGAAACTGGGGATGATTCATGTCCCTGAGTTCAATCCCTAGTACCACATTAAAAAATAAATAAATAACAAAGTAAGGTAGAGGACCAGCTTTTACTGCCTGTACGTCAAGTCCATAGATTTTTTTTTTTTGTCCTTCTCATAAGGATAGTAAACATAAGGATCCAGTAAGGAAATGCATATATTTATGGGAAATTGGTAACTAAATAGAAGATACTATTTCTAACCTTCAGTTACTTTCACTAGATGCTTTTTTTAAATCTGAGGAGTAAATCGGTCATTTTCAAACTGAATTCTTTTTCCTGCTATTCTGTAATAGTGCATATTTCAAATACAATTGATACATTGTTCTGGATTGTATGCCATGTTTATTTAGTCCTTTGCATTCCATTCTAGGCCTGTATGTTAAAAATGTCTACTCATAATTTTTCTGTTGTCCCACTTTTCTTTTAAGGGTAGGAGATAGGAAGGAGAAGTAAGTTAATTAATGTTAATGATTCTCCTTATGTAAAAACTTGGCCTCAAATTTAGTCATCAATTTTATTGAGCTAGTTAATGGTTTCTTAACCTCGAAGCACAGACACCCAGATGTCCCAATTTTTAATCTTACATTCCTTTGCTGGCTAGAAATGTTTATTTTTTTATGTTCACCTTTTAAATGCATCTTAAAAGGAAAGTTGTAATGCAATTTAAATTATACATGTTCAATTTGTTTAAATTTGTGTAAATGTATACCACTGTATATCTTAATCTTTGACTTTATAAATCATAGATAGCTAGGAGAACTCATCCAAATGTGTTTATATGACTTAAATCCTTGTCCAAGGGCAAAAATGAGCTGTTATAAACAGAACCAAGTCTGCCATTATTTTTAAGTATGTAAGCTTTTTATATATGTAGAGGTAGTAGTTACAGGATGATTGAAAATGAATTAATCCAAGGGAATGTAACTCTGTGGTAAAGAGCTTGTCCTTATTCTACTTAACTTTTGAAATCATTTAATTTTGCTATGCCGTTATTTAGGTAACAAATAATAATCTTCAGCCACCTACTTTGTTGTATTTATATTATGTTAGATTGAATAGGCTATATCTTATAACATTGAAAGCCATTAGGGATTAATGTATGTTTATGTACTGTTTTATATACTTTTAATATTTTATTTAATCTTTATTAAATACCTATGAAATGTGGATAGCATTAATTCCTTGCATTTTACGTAAGAGGAACCTGAGGCACAGATGGCTAGTATGAATATGCCCAAGGTTGTAAATGGTGCATGCTTATGATTCAAACTTAATGCAAAATACATGCTTTACATATGATTAAACTGCCTCACCCAGGTGCTTCACAGGTTTTTAGAAAAATACAAGTTCCATGTACGTTCCTCTYAATGTAGAATTCTGATATAATAGTTAATGCTTCAGAATTTATTGACAATTTATTTTTATTATCTTATTTAATCCGTAACCAATGTGTGGGAGTGTGGATATTCTCTTTTGACAGATAGATGATAAAACAGATTTATAATTCTTAAAACTTAGTGTAGTGGGTAGTATATTTGAAATTCTAGTCCAGGACTTTTGACCTTGCTATGTAATAATTACTGTGTGAGTTACATATATGTATACATATATAATCACATGTATATGTATACACACACACACAGAAAGGAAGGGAAAATGTAACATTACCTACATATATACATACATACACAGATTTCCAAGCACTTTATGAAGACTTTTTTTTTTCCTAATATTGTATACATTTCTTTTCCATCTTTTAGTATTTTATTGAACTCAGTGATTCATCATCTAAAAAAGGTTTTTGTTGTTTGGTGTGTGTGTTCGATACTTTTGTGTTTGGGGCTGTCTTGTGCATTGTAAGATGTTTAGCAATGTCCCTGGCCTCTGTACTCTAGATGCCAGTAGCACTCTTCTCCCCCAGTTGTGACAATTAAAAATGTCTCCAAACAGCCAAATGTCCTTTGGGAGTCAAAAGCATATCTAGTTGAGAATCACTGGCAGTGGTTCTTAGTTCTTAGAATTAATTAAGGTGATGTATAGAATTTGCTTAGATTTTTATTCATCTTTATAGATTTTTCAAATCTTTCATACTTCTGCTCACTAAGTAGTTGAGACTAGCCTCCAACTTGTGATCCTCCTGCCTCAACATTCTCAGTTGCTGGGATTAGAGGTGTGTGCACTGGGATTGTGTGTCTTAGTTTTTAATTGCAGTTGTAAAATGGAGTTGGGAGGGCAGAGGATACAACTCAGAGTAGAGGGCTTGCCTAGTATGTGTGAGCCCTTGAGTTTGATCCTTTGTACACCCCCACCCACATAAATGGAGTTAGGGAATCGAGAAAAAAGGACCAAATAAAGAGACTTCTTAGAATGTATTAGCAGGTTTACCAGGAAATTCTTAATCAGTTTTAGGTAGTAGCAAATAATGTACTTAGTAATTTCCCCTGACTGAGATTAAAGTGTCTTCTTGCCTTAAATAATTTAATCACTTAAATTGTGTACCTAATATGAATGCTTCATTGCTTAGAAATTAAGAAGTTTAAAAAGCATTACCATTGGGCCAGGATTGTGGCTCAAGCGGTAGAGCGCTTACCTAGCATGCGTGAGTACTGGGTTTGTTCCCTGGTACCACATAAAAGTAAACAAATAAAATAAAGGTATTGTGTCCATCTATAAAAAGATATCGGGGGCAGGGAAGCATTACCAGTACCAATAGCTTGTACCTTTGGAATAAGAATAATTGTATTTCCCTGAAATGAGTGATTTGGGGTTGGGTAGCCAAAGAGTAGAAGCTCTACTAGTGTAAAAGTGTATCACTGAACATTTTAAAATCTCAGTAATGTCTTGTATTAGTGGTAGCACAATTAGTGTTTGTTGAATGCATCTGGATACATTTGGAAGGGGGACCATTAACTCTTTTGTGGTAATTAGCATTTCTGTAATTAGCATTTTTGGATTAAAATTTTGCATGATAATATGAATGTGTCTGGGCACCAAAATCTTTAAACCCCTTACATTTTTGTGTTCCGTATAACTAGATGTTTTTCAAAGGTAGGCTATTTTTTGTTAACTCTAGAAGAAACTTTGTAAAAATTAAAAAACAAAAACAAGTAAAATGAAATTGCTTTGCTTTTTCAGGACTTTTTTTATGAAGACATGGAGTCTTTGACACAGATGCTTAGAGCTTTGGCTACAGATGGAAATAAACACCGGGCCAAAGTGGACAAGAGAAAGCAGCGGTCTGTTTTCAGAGATGTCCTGAGGGCAGTAGAGGTAGGCCTCTTAAATGCTTTGTAATAGGTATTTACTTTAAAATTAAATTGTTTCAGGCTAAACTCTACAATTGAATCATTTTGTTGATTTAATTTGTTATTCATTCAAAAATTTTTGCATTTAAGACCATGAAGGTTTTTAATAAGTAGGTGAAGAATTTTTTTTTTCCTCTTATAGAGGCAAATTTAATGCTGCTGTATAAAGGTATTTTATTTTTAGATTTWAAAAAAAAATAGGGCTGGAGGTATAGCTCAGTGGTTAGAGCACTTGCCTAGGATATGGAAGACCCRGGGTTTATCTCCTAGGACCACCAAAATTGAAAGCAAAGACCTTTTGATCTCTGTAGCAAGGGTAGGTACTAAAACCTAAAATAACAAAACCCAGCATCTTACCAAGACCACTTAAAATTATATGATGCTTAATTTCTTCTGTAGTCCTAATTTGCTTCAATGTATGTTGCCAATAATTAGATGTAGAAACTTGTAGGGATTAGAGTGCATGATTAAAACAAGCTGTAGGATAAGGGCAGTCTCACTATAGAGAACAAAAGTCTGATAATATTTTTGATTGGCCAGATAAGAAATGTTTCTAGTGTTTATAGAGTAGATTTCTCAGATTATTGTTATATGGTAGGGCAGGTTTTTTTGGAGAATAAATGTATAATCAAAGAGTCATTTAACCTGATGAGCATATGAAAATTTAGAGTGAGAATTTAAACTAGAGATGCTCAGGCTGCACCCTAGATCCAGTTTTGATGTGTTACTGTGATTCTCATATGTATCCTACTTTCTTCGTTTTGATCTACCTTTTATAAAGTATAACCTAAGATATAAATTAGATCCTCTGGGATCTAAATACTTCTGCTATGGTGACTGTAACTGCTTCCTAGTAAGTTATATTTACTCTGGATTTTATAATCTAAAGACAAAAATAAAATCCTCTAAATAGAGCAGACATCAGTGCTAAGAATTGAAATTGATTTTATTATAGTGTGGCAGTGGCCCTAAATTACACAAATCATTTTAGAAATAACTATAAACTACTTCTATATTTAGATTTTTTTGGGTGTGTGATACTGTAACCTTCAAAGATAAGATGAAGATGTGTCCTAGATTTTCTGGATTTCATATTTTCTGTCTTGATACATTCACTCTAAGTAATCAATTGTAAGGGATTGACAGCCAGGCATCTTATTGATCAGCTTAGGCCACTATAGCACTCAGCACCTGTTATTCTGAAATCTCAGTTTACACACTAGCATTGTCAAGTCTCTTGTCTCTACTCCTCAGCCCTGCTAAAATTTGAAGCCATTCTTATCCTCTAGTCTGTCTACCCTTCTAGGCCTTACCTAACCTTTCTTCTTCATCTAAGAATATGAGCCCCTTTGTTCTTCCATTGAGCTTCCTGTTATTCTAGCTTCTGCTTCAAGTGTAGCTATCATTCAGTGTACCTTCAATCTACCTGTCAAACCTCCTTGCTAGGTGTTACGTCCCCATCCTGCTTCCTTGATGGATCTTTCAAATAAAGGCTGCTGAACCTGCCATAGAGGAGAATTAAGCATCTTGCAATAGTGGCCGCCACACCATTTCTTTTTATCCAAAACCTTTCTTGAAACTCGTGTATTCCTTAAATCTGTAAGCATATTAGGTTTTATTATTTTAGTTTCATTATTAGTTTCACTCTTAAGCAATACAGCTATCTCCTTTTTAGGGAAAAGGGAATTAAGAACAATAAGTAGCAAAGCCAAAATTTAAACACGCTGTGCTTTGCTTTTTCAGCAGGGCCAAATGTCAAGTGAAAGAGTGAATGTTTCAAATAGATCTGTCAATTGGCCATTGGTGACCTTTTTATAAGTACACCTTTAGTACAGTGGAAGAAAAGCCAGATTGAAGTGAACTGGAAGTGAATGGAGAGCTGGGTACAGTAGTGCATGTCTGTAATCGCAGTAATTTGGGAGGCTGAGGTGAGAGGATTGCAAGTTTGAGGCCAGCCTCAGCAAGTTAACAAGGCCCTGTCTTAAAATTTAAAAAAATAATTAAATGAAAAGGACTGGGGTGTAGTGGCTCAGTGGTAAAGCACTCCTGGGTTTAATCCCCGTTCTGGGGATTTAAAAAAAAAAAAAGTAAATGGGGAGTGGATAAATGGAGGCAATATATCTATCCCAGCTGTTCTTTTAAAATGCATAAGCAGTAGAAAAAGGAAGGGAGTTGATAGCTATAATGCTGGAATGTAGAGTTTGTTAYAGAGAAAATTTGAAAATATAAGAGAAAGACTGGTATTCACCTTGAATTAAGGAGCAAAGGTGTGTGGGGTCTGATACATTTAGGATGGAGAGAGGACTAGATAAGGATGCAGCTGAATTTATAGAGGTTTGGGTGGATGGGAAATAAGAATTCTTCCCTAGTGTCTCAGTGTTTTCTGAAACAGAAGTTGAAATAGAATGTGACTTTTTTTTTTTTTTTTTTTAGTCATTGCTAAACCAGAGTCTTATGTGCCTTACAGACATGTTTTCTCTTGTCCCTCTAGTAATTCTCACCATGGTATAGGTATAGGTAGCCTCTTTTTGTGGGCAAAGGAGCAGACTCGAGGAGGTTAAATCAGAAATTGCAAGGCAGTGAATGGTATGTCCATGTGTAGTAGTCACATTATTTTCTACTACATTGTATTCTGTGTCTACTGAGAGAGAAGGGGGGGGCCTGGGTAGCTGTAGGGTGGGCAGTTGATCTCAAGTTTCATCACCTTCTTTTTCCTTTCCCTGTGATAGTCAGATGATCTATTTCTGGTTATTCTTATTCTTAAATATTCACAGTTCTTTAAAAAATTAAGTAGCCAGTTTTCTTCTACCAAGTTCTGTTGCCCTTCTGGGTGACATTATCCATCGGGAAAGCCCTATCTTATATTTGTTCCATTGACTTTGTTTCGTTTTCTCTTGGTCCATATCATCATGGCTCTTAGAAATGGTCTCCTGGCAAAATAGTTCCATTTCTGAAATCTTAACCTCACTCAGGTGCTACCTTTGGTTTTCTTAATAAACTTAGTTTGGGACCTATTGGAGCCTCCTGGTTGTTGGATCTTCTTTTGCTTGGTCTTTCCACCCTAATCTTTACTTCTTTCCCTAGATCCCTTCTGCTTATCAGTTCACCACTTGCCTTGTGCCATTTTTGTCTTTCAGATTACTCAACAGCCTTCTTCCCTTCTCTTGGACCCATTACAAACATTTGATCTCTTTTCTAGTTTCTTTTTTTTTTTTTTTTTTTTTTTTTTTTTTTTTTTTTTTTTCAGTACCAGGAATTGAACCCAAGGGCACTTAACCACTTAGCCACATCCCCATCCCTTTTTTATATTTTATTTAGAGACATGGTCTTACTGAGTTGTCTAGGGCTTTTTTCGTAGTTTATTGAGTGCTTTCAAAATTATTTTAAGTGTTCTCCACAGTACAGTTTTGTCATTAATATTTATTCTAACTCAGTTGTCTATCTTTAAATCTACATAGTTAAGACAAATTCTGTACCCTAACCCAGGATAGTAATTCTTAGTCTGTTCACATCTCAAATATGGAAGTATCAGTTTAAAATATTGCTCAAGTATCTCAGCTTGTCTGTTTAGAAATTGTGTTTATATAATATGTCTTTGGGCCATTTTTAGTGCTGGTGATGATTTGCCTCTTCTTTTGGCTAGGAACGGGATTTTCCAACAGAAACTGTTAAATTTGGTCCTGAACGCATGTATATTGATAGCTGGGTCAAGAAACACACCTATGACACCTTTAAGGAGGTTCTTGGATCAGGAATGCAATACCACTTGCAGGTGAGTGATACCATTCTACATATTTACTTATAAATTAGGGAGCTGCTTTGAATGTAGATCACTTTGAAGTTAATTGAGTATCCAGAAAGCTTTCACGTGTTAGAAAAAAGTAAATTTACTTTTGAAAGTAAAATGGAATACATCTTAAATAATTTTTGTATAAGTCGGGAATGTTATTGATAACTTTTTATGAAAGCAAATAGCTTCACTTAGATCTCTTGGATTCAAGGCATGGAAAATAATTTACCTTTTTATTGAGAAACAGAAAAAAAGTATAGGTCCCACATAACTTCTATTAATCAGATTTGTTTAGTAGTGAGAGTTGTGATATTTAATATTGAGCCTTATCTCTTTTTCTTATACAAGTCAAATGAATTCCTTCGCAATGTATTTGAACTTGGACCCCCAGTGCTGCTTGATGCTGCAACACTTAAAACAATGAAGATTTCTCGTTTTGAAAGGGTATGTTTTGTTTTTATTTTTAATAGAATTAAAATACACCAAAGAAAACAATCTAAAGATTTGATTCTGCCTGATGACAGGAGAACTGTGTCTACTGCTAAATGGAAATTTTAGTTTTTCATAATGTTGCACACACAATAACTGTACTAAAAGTGTGGAAGCTTTATTGCATTTAGAGTGTAGGGGGTTTTAATAAATTTTTTTTACCCATAATCCTACTACCATAACATAGAAATGAGTATTTACACATATTTCCTTTGTATAAGGTAATAGCTTACTTGGTACTAGATTGATTTTACAAGTGAGGAAAACTGCTTGGGAGTTTGTACCATCAAATAGTGTGCAATTCAGTCAAATTTAAATATTTCCATGACCTCAAAAGAAAACCTTTCACCTGTAGGTAGCCAGCCATTCTATATCTGGCTTTTCCCTTAGACACTGGCAAGCTCTAATCTGTCCTGTCTCTGCAATTACCTGTTCTGGATTTTTCATATTCATGGAAGGATACAATGTGATCTTTTGTGTCTGGCTGTTTTCACTTGACATAATGTTGTCAAAGTTCATCCATATTGTGGCATGTATCAGAATTTTATGCCTGGCGAGGTGGTGGCACACCTATCTCAATAGCTTGGGAGGCAGGAGGATCATCAGTTCAAAGCCAGCCTCAGCAATTTAGTGAGGCCCTAAGAAACTCAGCAAGACCCTGCCTCTAAATGAAATGTAAAAAAGTCTTGGGGATGTGGCTCAGTAGTTAAGCACCCCTGGGTTTAATGCTGGTACCAAAAAAAAAAAAGAATTTCACTCCCTTTTTTTGGTTGAATAATATTCTATTATGGATATGCCTTGGTTTGCTTTTCCATTTATCAGTTTATTTAGGCTTTTAACCCCTTTCAGCCTTTGTGAATAGAGCTGTTATAAATATTCACATAGAGTAGTGAATGAAGGCATGCACCACACAGATTTGACAGCTTTGGGTTTTATAATTTTAAAAATTTGTTAATTTAATAGGTATTAAAATGACACTTTCTTTCTTTGTTAGTTGACAAGTGGGTAGTAGGACTTCTTCACATTAGACATGATTCATCTTTTTCTTGATCAGACTAATTGATGCCATTGTTTACTTTTTGATTGGAATTTACTTGGTAGTTTACAAAGTGGGTTAATAATTTTCTAAATATGGAGTAGCCATGAATTGTTAATTTTCTCATTTACTCTTCTTGTTTGTAAACATTTAAAATATTAATAGGGTCAGATTAGTTCATTTCTTTCCTTTATGATTTGCCCTTTCCCCCCCATCTTTAAGAATATTTTGTTAAGTTTTATTGACTCACATGTATTTTCCTGTTCTTCATTTCAGCATTTATATAATTCTGCAGCTTTCAAAGCTCGAACAAAAGCACGAAGCAAATGTCGAGATAAGAGAACAGATGTTGGAGAATTCTTCTAGATTTCTAGCACTTGCCAAATATTTTCTAATTTTTTTTTTTTTAATTTTTAGCTATTTCTAATGTACATGAACTATCTGTTGGGTCAACTTAGATAATTTTTATAGTAAGGGTGGGTTATATTCCTCATAATTTAATGTATAGTATTGTAAATGATGATTTCTGATTATTTGAATATTCTGTAAATATCATCAGTAAACATGAATAAAGTGTTCGTAATGTTTGGTCACATTCTATTCATGAAAAGAACAAAAGGATGGTATTTCACTTGATTTCAAGATGCAGAAAGTTAGACAAGGTTTAATGTCTTATACTGTTGTCAAAAATACTGACTGATTATAATGGTGTGTACCTACAAGTTCTTAACTTAATCTCTTAAATATAAGTTTCTGATACAATTTTTGGGAGCTAGTTCCCCTGGAAAAGCTGCTGTGGTTTGAATTTTAAATGAATTGTAGCTTTTTAATTTTCATTTTGTCACTGGGTTCAACTAAAGGTATTATACCATGAGACTTTACAAATGCTGCACTTATAGGCCATTCATTTCAGCTGTTTAGGATTCATGGTGTATTAATTAGCCTATATCAGAAATAACCTCTGAGTGCAGTAACACTGTTTTGCTGTATGAAACCTTGTTCTTTTTACTTTGAAATAAATAAAGATGTTTGCACACTGAAAGCGCTTCTTTTTTACTAACAGAAACATTACTTACAGCTTTGAGGCAAAGTTCAAGTTACTCAAGCCAGGTAAGAAGGGAGTGAGACAAAGTTTTATTTCTGTATTTGAAAATATTACTATGAAAAAAACCTGCAGCATTGTATAATTGGGATTAAAACTACTGAGAATATTATTACTAGGTTGTCGTTATGATGAGATGTTTTATGAAAAGTTGAACACTATTGACAATGCATTAAAATTGTTAAAATCATATGGCTTAAGCAACACATGCAGTTTGGAATCCATATACCCATTCCTTTGATTTTTTTGCTGTAGAAACAGTGAGGGATGGGAATTGTGTACTTTGTAGAAAGAAATGTCAAAATCACTTCAGATTTTTTTTCCAAAAGAGTTTTTTTCATTCCCACATCCCCAACAACTCCTGGAACGTGTGATGTACCTACTAATTGAAAATCATTGGCTGGCTATGGTGTCACTTATGGAATTCCATCTCTCTGATACAGCACAGTAGGAAGCAGATTGGAATCTAAAACTTAGGTCTGTTTATTGTTACTTCTTTATATTCCAAGTAGGCTAGAATCATGGAAGAGACTTCAAATAATACGTTTTTTTTCCCTACATTTTCTGTTTCATGTTTGTATAATATTTTTAAATATTATTGAATTTTTATTTACACACATAGTTTGATAATACCTAAAGGCTTATAGGGACACTCTCTCCCAGCCCCACTCCACCCCCCATTCCATCTTTTCTCATCCCAGAAGAGATTTAGCAGTTTAGCTTTCAGGGTTTTTTATTTTTTAATTTTTTAGCACTTTGGTTTCATGTTTCTAAGTAACATGCTTCTATAACTATTATTTTAGACATTTGTCAACTTCCTATTGTGACAGGGAAGATCATTCTTTTGTCTTCTTACTCTTCAAATGTCACCGTTTGCATTACTGTGATTATATGAACTAATTTACTGTGCTTACATTTTCATTCTAATAAACCATTTTGTCCTGGATTAATACTGTTATTTTACTTTATGTACATCATCAGTTCTTTCAAGATCTAAATAAATTTGTTAAAGTCCTTTATTTTTTACTTGATTCAGTGGAGACTTATTTTCTTTCATCTTAATGCATAATTGTTTTCCTGAAACTTCACTATCCTGGGGATTTGTTTTCTGGACTTCATGTCTTCATTTTAGTTAACTTGTTACAGTAGAGTACTTCCTTAATGAGTGTCTTGGAAAGGAATACATATGGGATTAATTGTTTTGTGGCTTAATGTTTATAAAATAATATGCTCAGTGTATGAAATTATACATCAAAAATCAAGTTCAGGATTTAAAAAAGATTGACAAATTATTGTACTCAAGAATTTTAAAAGGATTGTTTTCTAGTTAGCAAAATTTTCAGATTTGCCGTGATTTTGTTTTGTCTTTTGCTTTTAAAATTGCTTTGTGGGGTTCTAAAAAGTGCTTTGGTGGGCTTGACAATCTGGAAAATAATTCCGTGTTGCATGAGCTCCTGAGATGACTCTTTTTCTGATTTTTTTTTTTTTGGAACATTTCACTAACCACAATTTTCCAATCTTCTTACATTTTATTTTGGTTATCATTACTTGCTGGAATTTAGCACCATGCTGCATTCTTGCCTCCAGATTATAAGCCTGCCTGAATTCTGAGGGTCATTCAGCTCACTAATCAATGATAGTTCTAAGTCAGGTTCCACTCTTCTTTCTATGTTCAGAACATTTGTTGAATCCTGCCGCAGTCTGGCTGGGCACAATTCAGGAGCCACTTGTCAAAAGAAACTTTATTTTTAGAACTACAAACGCCAAGCAAAACAGCTCCAAAGGAAAAAACCCTCAGAGCCCAACTGCCACCACCGGCTTCCACAAGCCTCTCCCCACACAAACCACACCACCTCCCACAATCCTCCTGCTCTTGAGGCCGATTGGCTGGGTCGCGTGGGCAGAGCCAAAGAAGTCCCCCAATGAGCAGNAGTCTGAAGGGCAGGGAAACAGCCCAATGAACATCACCGCAGAGGAGCCAATCAGCTAGATGTTGCTGGGGCCACTGTGAGCCAATCATCAGCCGGCAGCTGGAAGTTTGCTGGGGCCCCTTTGGCTGTGGCTCTCAACAGAATCCCTTCAGTATTGTTGCCTCCTATTTTCATTTTTGTGGTTGTGTTATTTTTCTTAATATTCTGCCTTACTTCTTGGGCTTTGGGAGGAAGAAAGATGAGTTAGCCTGAATGTTGAATTTACATATGGGTGGACTCTTTAATGTATCTGGGTAATTTGCAAGGCAAGAATTACTGGGAACTCTTATAGAATGCATGAATTTCTTGAAAGTAATAAAATGCTATTGTGGTATGCCAGTCATTCATTGCTTGAGATTTGGTTAATCTTGCTGGTTTGAAGGAATTTGATATGGTTCCTGTCCTATTTTGAGGCTCAAGAATTAATTTTGAATTAATATCTATGACTCAAGTCTGATGGCATTTACTTAATTTCCTGGGAATTTAATCTAGATACCCTGAGAATAGTATTTGAAAGAGTAAGCAAGAAGTACTTGAAAATGTCCCCAGATTAAATGACATATGAGAATTATTTTCTTCAGGTACATAACAGATAAAATATAGCATGTCTTGCTTTGTTCCTCAATTGGTTTCTGGTAATCTAGTCTAAAGCCAGTCTCATCACCCTCATCGATGTACAGTTGAATTCAGACATTAATATGATGTTTGGATTCATATTTTATCTTTGCCGTTTAACAATGTATATGTCCTTTGACTATTAAATTTCTTAGTCTTGAATTGGGTGCAATGGTGCGCACCTATAATCCCAGCTACTCAGGAAGCTGAGGCAGGAGGATCTAAAGTGTGAGGGGTCAGTCTGGGCAACTTAGTTTGAAAACCCTATCTCAAAAATAAAAAAATTAAAGGCTTGATTCAGTGGTAGAGGCCTTGCCTAGCATAGCAAGTCTGAAATCATTCTCCAGTACCCCCCCCCMAAAAAAAGTTTTTAATATCCATATTCCTTGTTTCTGACAGGGATGAATACTTGAGATTATAAGGTTATAGGAAAGAGGAAAAACAAGGCAGATACTTCTGTTTCTTCAAAAGATAGGTGATTTATGACATTAGTAGTTGGTAGGCTTTATAAATTCTAGGCATGGCAAAAAAATAGCATTTTTATTAAAGAAATTTATCAGTTTTTAAATGTGTAATTAGATTTTGGAGAAAACTGTTACTAATTCCATACTCTTCATCAATAAATTTGTTCTTGGGTAGAGATGAGGCCTGAGAAAATGATCTTTCCCCCACAGCAGAATGAAGTCCCTATGGAAATTAGGTGTAAAGGGAGCTTTGGAGAGCACACGTTTTCTAAATAATGTGCAAAAAGTTCCAAAGGTAGGTCYGTCCAGTTGGCAAGTAGGATTATAAAGGACTACAGATCTGTTTACAGTGAAACCTTTAATATACTGGAATAGTTTATACCTGTGCTCTCAAACCTTACTGTAACATCTTTTATGTACGCCAAAGGGCAAAAGCTCCTTGGCATGCTTGTGAAGTCACCATACAAGTGAAAGACTGACATTCTCGAGAAAGGAGAATATACAAAACTCAGAAGAAAGCCTTTGAAAAGGAGATGAGGTTGAGACATTTCCTTCACCTGCAGTGGGTCTACTGCAATATAGTCTTTCCACTCAATTTTGTAGCTACTTAGAAGTCCTAGAGTCATTTGCTGCTATAGTTTGGATCTTGAGTGTCTCCCATCAGCCCATGTGTTAAAGGCTTGATCTCCAGTTTATGGTAGGATTGGGAGGTGGTAGAAGGAAGTTGAGTTGTTCGGGGTGTGCACTGGAAGGGGATATTGGTATCCTGGCCCCTTCTTGTCTCCTTAACTTCCTGGCCTCCAATAGGCAAGCAGCTTCCTCTGCCATGTGATCTTTACCACAATGTTCTTCCTTGCCACAGTTCTGAAGGCAGTGGGGCCAAGTGACCATGGACTGAAATCTCTAAAACTGAGCCAAAATAAACCTTTCCTCTTTAAAAGTTTCTTTATCTCAGGTATTTTGTTGTAGTAATAGAAAGCTAACTTAACATTCCTGCCATCATCCTAGTTAGGATGACACAGTAGTACTCTCTCCCTACTTATTGCAGTTCTCTGTTTGGTCAGGAATGGTTGCAAGTTAGTCATCACAGTAGCAGCTCCTGCCTGCTGCAAGATATTTATATACAGGAGTACGCCATGACAGAAGTGCTGGAAATGTGGTGTCAGCTTACAGTTGCATCAGCCAAATAAGGACATTAATTTCAGTCTAACAAGAATCTCACCAATCACCAACTCAATTGGGGAGTGGTGTTTTGTTGTTTTAAAGCATAGTTTCAGTTATATTTTAATTGAAAACCTTAGATATTATGGGGAAAGTTAGTATTTGGAATCTTACATTGCTTGGATAAATAAACACTAAACAGGTCACCAGTTTTGTGCTAGAGTTTATGGGCCTCACGGAAACAGTTGGGCTCTGCAGGAAGGCAAAGAAAGACCTACAGAATTTGTAAAACATTTTGTGTTGTAGTTGCTCCTGAGTAATTAGTTGTTTTTTCCTGGTAACCAAGCAAAGCTCAGATTTTTGTAAGTAATTTTGCATGCTATTACTCTGAGACTAAATTATGATTCTTGAGTTTGGGAAATTGTTGTTGCATGTGCCCTGTGCTTTTAACTTTCAATAGAAATGATTTAAACTGGATTTTAAAAGTTACTTCCTGAATCTGAAGAGGCATTGACTGAAATGGAATTAAAGAACCAATTACCATGATTCAAACTGGTTATTAGCTTTGAATTAAATCCTGTTGTAACAATTCTGATTAGTAAATCAGAATTAGTAAATCAGTAGGCAAGCAATATCAGTGTGAGTTATTTTTGTGGTATGATACCAGGCACCTGCAGGGAAAAAATAAAGCACAAAGCAATTTTTCATAGACAGCTATCTTTATTTGTGAGGATATTTATTTGTAGGTAGTGAAAAAATTCTTACATTCCCCAAACTCAGCTGTTAGCAATGATCTAAACTAGAAGAAACAAATTACTTACATGTTTCAGTCAAAGGAATCAGTGTTCTTTTAGAAGGATGCCACTTTGGTCAATCTTGGTGAATAAGCAAATTTGCACCCTGGAGTCCGGAAGGAGGATTGAGTTAGTATGACCAGAATTGCTGGCCACACTGGTTCTCCAGCGTTGGTTGTTCCCAGATGCCCTCATTTGGAGATGCCAAAGATAGAAACCACTGGGTGTCAAACAGCTGTGATTCCTGCTTTTCAAGCCATGTGATCTTATATCCATTTACTAACTGAATCATTTGCAAGCCATTTGCAGGCTCCTGGTGGCCACTGGCCACACCCAACTTGGGGTTCTCTGCCAGTTCTTTGTTTCTATTTGCATGTTGTTGCTTTTCATTAAAAAATATATTGAAATAGCATCTACTTGCATTGTGTCTTCACTCCGAAGAAATTTTCTTTCAGAGCACTACTTAGCATAGGCTGTTTTAGATTTTTTGGAATCCCCTTCTAACTAGGTGGCAAGGTCAGTAGTTTGGAGATTTCATTAGCTGGACTGTTCCTCATGAGTCAGTTTTTTAGCTCTGATTTCCTAGCTAATCCTCTGCTTTGTTCAACATGGATTATGCTTCTGTATTGGATTTAAGCAAGAGCAGTCACATTCCTGAAGGGAAAGCTAAGGCTCAAGGATATTAAGTCAGAGATCCAAAGAAGCATGCGTCAGTCACCAAGCCTAAAATAGAAGCTACGTTTGTTTGGAGTGATGATCCTATGACATGACACAAACATTTTTTCCTGGTCAAATATTAGTATTTAGGATAATAAATAATAGAGATGATAAGATATTAAACACATTTAGGAGGGTTTAGAAAATCTGTGACCTTGCAGTTAATACTTTTGATCCTTGATTTTACTGCAAAGTTAAAATTTATCTCTAACGTCCTTTTACTCTGCTGCTGCTGCTGCTGCTGCTGCTGTTGGGTTTTTGTTTTTGTGTTTTTTTCATTTGATTATCATGTCATGTCTTTCCCTTAGGAATGTTACAGAAATGTATTTGGAATTAGGTATCTAATGTGGTTCAGTAGCATTTTGTTTAAAATATTCAAGAAATTATGTGTTCTTTTTAAAATTTTTTTTGGTTGTAGATGGCCACAATATGTTATTTTTTATTTTTTATGTGGTGCTGAGGATAGAACCCAGTGTCTTACACGTTTGGGGCTGGCGCTCCACCATTGAGCTCCAGACCCAGCCCCAAGAAATTATGTGTTCTTGTTAATTAAATTTTCAGGAATGGAAACACTTTTTAGTTTTAACTCTGAAAAACCTTAAGGAAAAAATGTTAAAGATTAGTCCATGACTTTTCCAGCTTACTGGATTTCTTATCTAGGGTCCTGAGAGCATATATTCCACAAGTACAGATAGGTTGTAGGTATTACTGGGGAATGGCTGGGTTTTAATATTTTATAGTGTAATTTAAGGTGTTTAGTAAATGGCTGACAAATTTTTCCAGATATTCTAAAGATTTATACTGTCCCCTCCCACTGGATTTGGTTTTCTCCTAACTCTATAATTTTCATTCTGTAGCTGGGTAATAAAGGAAAAAAAAAATAAATATTATCAGGAAGTAAACAGTGTGTTGCCACCTATAGGCAGCTACAATATTTATTGCACTGACCTTACTGGAGTCCAAATAGATATCACATGAGCATTTTTCCCTTAGCCTTAATTCTGTTAGTGTACTTACTAACTGCCTCAAAAGTTTTTTCAGATAGGTTACACCCTAAATAAATATTTTAGGTGTTCCAGCTTAACTAACAGAAGTCAAGGGCTTATAAATGTGGCACTGAATAGGATTGTTCCCTACCCTAAGGAATTTTCAGTCTGTTGGGGAAATCAAAGATGTCAGCCAACAAATGCAATGAGGTGCTGTCTGTAGATGCTCTGATAGAATAAGAATGCTCAGCTGCCAGCCAGGGCACACAAAAAGTTCAGTTCTCTCATAGGAGATGGTTTGTGCTGAGTCTTTTGTTGTTGTTGTTGTTTAGAGTACTGGGGATTGAACCCAGTTGCTCTACCACTGGGCCACATCCCCAGCCCTTTTCATTTTTTATTTTGAGATAGGTTCTCATTGAGTTGCTGAGGCTGGCCTGAAACTTGCAATTCTCCTGCTTCAGCCTCCTGAGTCATTTGGATCATAGGCGTGTGTGCATCACCAAAGGCAGCTTGAAAAAGGATTAGGGAGGGTGTTGAATAGAAAATTAGCAGGAGGGAAGACCCAGTGATTTTGAACAGCAATCTGATTCTAGTTCTGCTACTAGCTAAATACATGATTTGGGGCATTTACCTGGCTGACCTCCAATGTCCTCATTTGTGGAAAGGATAAGGGCTGGACTTAAAGCAGGTCTAAAATCCTTCCCAGACCTAAAAAACCTATGTTACCATGAAAGAAGAGTAGGCTTTTCAAGTCATTGAACTAGAATCTAGCAGCGTTCTCTCTACATCATCTAAGTTTACTAAGATTGTGTCCTAGAAACCCACAGTCAGCTAGTGGCTAAAGAATAGATTTGAGGGTCAGGACTCATGCCATATTGAGGGAGAATATAAAGTTACAATGTTGTATTAAAGCCTCTTGCAACTAGAAAGTTCTCACAGTAATGTTTTCTTCTTTCAGAATGATTTTGGCCACAGCCAATCTTTATATTTATAGCTAGTCTTCCTGCACAAAGGATTTAAGGCATCTCACTGGAGCATGAACAGTGTCATAAAAGAGGAAAAATTTTAAATCGATTACAAAATAAAAAACAAGATCCAGGGGGAAATAGGTAGAACTGAGCAATCTAAGGAAGAGAAAAGAGTATAGGCAAATAAGCAGGGCATAAATAGTTGTATAATTTTAGAAACTGGTCCATACATTTGACCATGAGCTTCCTGGCAAGAAAGCAAAAAGAATTAGAAAGTTGTCCATCAAAAGGGATATTTTCCTCTGGATAAGCAAAGCCAGACCCTTACTTGAAAACAGCATTTGTGGGTGGGTCTTTGTCTGCCTGTCTAGTTTCCTGATGCCTCTGGTTCTTGTGGAGTTCCACAGTCCAGCCCCTTGTTTTTAATGTCACTTTTTTTTTTYCCAGGGGCAATGAATCATTCTTTCCAGGACACTGGATCTCGTGACATTCACGAAGATGGAAAGCTTTATGTCGTGGATTCCATTAATGACTTAAACAAACTAAACCTCTATCCTGCTGGATCACAGCATCTGTTCCGTATGTGTGCCCCTGGTGGCTTGGTGGCCCTTCCTGGCATCCAGGCTGCCTAAAAATGGCAAAGGCAAAAGTGGACTTGTGGGTGTTGGGTAGGGGTTGGGGTGGTACGTATAGCTTGGCATTGGAAATGCTATTTATCATTAGGCAGGTTTTTCTTTTGTTCTTTGAATACCCATGGGATTATGAGCTTTYTTGGCTCCTAAGGAAGATTTGAACTCTTTAAAAATCCTGGAAAAATCTTGTGATGTTTCTGTCCCTGAGAAGGGTGAAGGCTGCTGAGCTGGACTCTCGAGGCTTGCTCATGCCTCTGTTATCTGTTGTAATAATGCTTCTTAGTGACCACAGCTAGGTCCTCGATACTGCCCACCTTCCCCCCAGGGGTTTTGTTTCATAGCGTATTACTGAGAAAATGCTCAACACATTCACCAGTTATAAAAATAGCATTAAAATTCTCTTGGGCAAAAGAATCAACTTCATTTTCTCCTTCTGAATTACAAATTGCCCAATTAAATAGTTAGAAAAATATGCGGGGTGGACAAAATCTGCTGAATACTAAATGTGTATGCTGCTCACTAAATATTATAAATGAGTTCTACCAGACCCTCTGAGCCCCTTCTTTTCTATCTTAAATGCTGATGTTTGAACCAACCCTAATGTGAATTGCTCACTTGCCTTTTGTTTTTTTTTGTGTACTCCCAACTTACTATCCCAGTTTTATATCTATCATTCCCCTTCTAAATCATTTCTCAGTTTTTGGTTTTCTCATCATTTAAATGGGTTCAGGTCTTCATCATTTTTATTGCAGTCAATCTTAATAAAAACGAGTGTGTGGGTGTCAATAAGGGGGATGATATAGGATGTACTTATAGGGCATGGGACTTAAGCCATTTGTTTATCCACAATCCAGGAGCACAATGTGTGGGACCAATTCAAAGTAGGAGAGCATACAAAAAAGTAATTCAATGATCTCCACTACCCCAGTTTTCATATTTCTTACTCAGTTTAATCTCAGAGCTGGTAGGGACCTAGGCCTTAAAAAGGTTACTGGATGCAGACAATTCAAGGTTTGGGTGAACCAAGCTATTTTATGAGCAGGTTGGATTATCAGTTCAACTCAAAATATTGGAAAGAACCCTGATTTCAGAGGATATCCATCTTAAAAACAGTTTTAAGAAACCAAAAAATATCAGGACCACTTTTATTTAAATGGGTGTAGGCATGCTTGATTATTCCTATAATAAAAGGGATTTCCTGGGAGACAGCCCAGAGTGTTCAATTTCCACCCAAGGCAGGTGGCCCACACCCAGCTCTATTTTGCTCCTGGGTTACTATGGGAGGACTATAGAGCCTCTGTCACTCTTAATCTTTCGCTTCTTTATTCCCTCCCCCAAATAACAATCCATGTCCTGCTACTTCAGTACTAACACAGTCTTAAACTTTCCAAAGAGGCTTGATTAGTAGCTTACCCTTGCTCATTCTTTGAATACCAAAAGAGAGGAAGGTAAACAATTCCAAAAATTGTACCCATCCAAAGACATTCCTATCACATAAATCACTTTCCAGGACTGTCAGAAGGAAAATGGGTGTATTCATTACTCATGTCTCTAACAATGTGCTGCTGTTCCTTTCTGCTGACAAGTTGTGTGCTGAGGAGTTTTTGTCTTCACTGTTTTTGTCTGTTTCCTATTAGCTCTTGAAGAGAAAATCCCAGATTTTGGCACACGTTCAGGAAATGGGAGGCGGAGTCTGTTCTTTATGGGGCTGCTAATTGCACTGATCGTCAGCTTGGCACTGGTTTTCTTCGTGATATTTCTAATAAGTAAGTACCACCAGCAGGGTTTTCATTACTAAGTGCACATGATGCATAGCTGGTTTTCCTAGTCAGTTGTTCAACTTTGCCCTTGGGATGAGTCAGTGCTTTCTGGAAGTCAAAGTTTCCCCTGGAAAACACAAGGGGAATGAACACCTCGAGTGAATCCCTTTGCTCAGGGATACATACGGTCCCTGGGGCACAAGCCTACTGCACAAGGGCACAGTGCTTGAAGGTCACAGACATGTATGCTAAATATTAATATAACATTTAAGTTTTTCCCTTGGGAAACCTAGCTCCCAAATTGTAGGTGACTCCATCGGGCAGCAGGGTCAGTTGGCTACCATTAAAATCAGATCTATTACATGTAGTCACACTCAGGGTTCAAACCCCATCTCAATTTCTCTCATTTGCATATCATCCAGAAATCAAATCAAAGTACCTGAGGTGATGTTGGGGCTGTGACCACAACAGCTGTTTCCAGGTTGACACTGACCAGGCTGGTGTCTGCTCCTATTATAACCTTCTCTGTTTGCTCTTGGCCTGGGATGCGCATGTTGGTTGAATGGTGACACCAGCTTTCCCACACCTCCCAGCCTAGAGACCCCCTGAGCCATCAGTGCTGTCTGGCTCTCTGCCTTGGGTAGGGGAGAGGTGCAGTTCCCTCTGCCATGCTGTCCCATCCTTCTGCATGTGGTTCCCTCCCACAGAGCTCCCCAGTTTCCCCTCTCAGCTCATCTCTGAGGAGGTGGAGTTAGAGGTGATCAGAGGAGGAAGGTGGGCAGAGTGCACCATCCTTGAGTTATATCTAACCTGTCTTCTTCCCCAACAACGCCTTCCTCTTTCCTCCTTCCTGCCTCAAGGTCTTTAGCCTCAGGGGTTGGGGTTGGGGCTGGTGGGGAGGGGTGATATTTAATTGCTTCTCTCTCACCCAGCTGGTGCCCTTGTGCACTTAGAAGCTAGCATGTAAATTATTACAGTAATTGTGAACTAGCCACCAATTGGTAGCTACCAATTGTGGGAGGGTTGGCCCCTGAGCCTGCAGGGTCAGGAAGAGCACCTGGCTTGCTATTTTGACATGTTGTTCCAACATAAATTAATGTCCTGCCTGCGACCTCTGACAGGAGTAATGACCCTGTTAAACTAGTAAGGAATTTTGGTTATGTCTCTAGACAAGTGAGCAGACCATAGGAAATTCTCTTTTCTGTGGGGTAAGAGGCAAGATTAAGGGAAATGATAGTAACAAATGCTCAAAACCTTCTAAAATCTGTATAGCTAGCATAGGATCCATTATTATGCTGGAAATGAAGCTTAATATACCCAAGGTCACATAGCTAATAAGTGCCAAATTGGGGCTTAAAAATACTTTCTGATATCAAACGCTATGCTCTTTCCTATTCTTCTTGTTTAAATAGGATTCTTTTTATTTGCCTTGAGCATTTTATATTGAGGAAAAAGTCACATTAAGTAAGAAACCAAAAGATAATGTGAATTGTGTCTCTTTATTGGACAATTACTCAGTGCTATACATATGATTATCTTAAGACTTTATCCCTCAAGGTGGGTTAATTTCCTCATGAAAGACTAAGGCTCAAAGATATCACCTCTCCATGTTCATGGGGCTTACAGAGACAGACCTGGGATTCAAACCCTGGCCTGGTGGGCTCTAGAGCTCCTGTGAGTTCCACTGCCTGAGATGCAATAAGTATAAAATCTGCTTGTGGTTTTCAGATACACCTTAATCCAGTATTACACCAGAGTTGGCAGAGGCATCTGTAAATGAACTTGATCTGTCCTTATCTTTAATAGGAAAACCATTTTTGCTGCCCTGGGATTCACTGCAAATGTGTATACTTTAAATTTTTTTTTTTAGTTGTAGGTGGACACAATATGTTTATTTTATTCATTCATATGTGGTGCTGAGGATTGAACCCAGTGTCTCACACGTACTAGGTGGGCAATCTACTGCTGAGCCACAACCTTAATCCCACTATTTAATTGAAGTGAGATAATATATTCTTTATAACTCTGTCATTGTGACACAAGAGAATTAAGATTATTATATACTGATTACATTCTTATTAAACCATTGGGCCTTACGTTTTTGTTATAATCTCTACACTAACAAGGAATAACAGACAGCAAGAATACATTACTATGGATTCCTATCTGCCCATGGTAGCAAGAATAGCCAAGCAGCATATTCCACAGAATGCTTGTTCCATGGGATAAGTGTTGCCTTTTGGGAAAAAATAAAAAAAGAGGGGGGTGTCTTTGTGGTCAAATGAGTTTGAGAACTGTTGGCTTAGGTAATGTTCAGGGTGTTTCTTTGCTTCCTGTGCATCTCCAAGGGGCAGGTGGGCATATATTTTTGCTCTAACTCTTTTATACATGGAACCCTTTCTCTTTTTATGGAATTTATTTCAGGACTGGTGCACTGTGGAACAGAGGTAGGCAAGCATGGTTGCTCCTTCCTTCTGGGTTTGGGCTATGTAGAAGGGTTGCGAGAGGAGAAATTATTTCATATGTCATGGATTTGTTCCAGTCTCACACTTTCCCCAGAAGCGAGTGGCAGCTCTGCCTAGCTGAGCAGCAAAGCTCAATTAAGACACTTCTTTCATGTCTTGGACCATGTTTCATCCAATGTAATTTTTCAGACATGAGCAAGAAGTAAGCACAGGGCAGCCAATTTGCCCCAAGGCTGGGAGGTGAACCTCTAACAGCTAGTTTATCAGCCAAGCCCAGCAGCATGTTATCAACACTATTAGGTCCCAGAAGATAGTTTTGAGGAAAAAAAAATGCCTGAAATGGAAATGTTAAGGAGTTCAAAGATAAAGCATTGATTCTGTGCAGCATTTCTTAGAAATGTTAACTCCAATTAACAGACCTCAAAGGTTTACAATTCCAGCTTACTATACTACAGGGGTTCTGTTTATTTGGAAAATATTGTGCTCTATTCTCAGGAGTGATCTGAGGGGAATGATTAAACATTCATTATGAGTTGGTAATTTAGAATCAACAGACATGTCAAAATAGGCTGGAACCCAGAGAATGTCATTTTCCAAATGACGAGCAAAAGCCCTTTCCTGAGAATGGGCCTGGAAATTCGACAATATAACAATCGCTTCTGGAGAAATAATCAGGCACATTGGCAGTTTTCTTTGATTTCTCATAGACATATCTTTCGTAGCCAAAACCTGGGGGGAGCTACCAGGGGTGGTCTAGACTGACACTAAGAGGTTGTAAAAATAATTCATTTAATGCGCACCTTCACTCTTCTCCAGTTTCTCTCCTGGGTTTCTGGAATCCATGGATAATGGAACAGGGGTTTTGCCAAGAGTGCCTCTCAGCACTCAGATGAGCCCTGGTGGAACATACTGGAAACCAGTATAACACAGTCTGTTTTCCATTTTCAAGTTCAAACTGGAAACAAGATGGATGATGTGTCCAGAAGACTAACAGCTGATGGAAGGGACATAGATGACCTAAAGAAAATCAACAACATGATCATAAAGCGACTCGACCAACTGGACTTGGAGAAGAATTAGAGAAATGATTTTCCAAGGGCATCAGCAAACACGTGGAGCTCCTCACTTTCCTGGGGTGCACTGGGTCAAGGGCTGAGAAAGGGCAATGGATTATCTGATCATTAAAACCAGCCAGGGATATGAGCAACTCCTAGGCAAGCTTTAGGACAGCAGCTAGAAAGGGTTGGTTAGGTCTCAGCCTTATTTTCTGGTAGGGTGCTCCAGCTTTAATGGGGTTAGGGTGGTTGGCTAGCATGCACGAGAATCAACAGAAACCAGGAATCCGGCTTTGTATATACAACTTATCTTACTAGAGGAGTTTGGTGTAGAATAGGTTCACTGTCGATGAAAGTTTGACGCCATATGCCTGTGCAGATTCCTGTGAAAGCCTGAGAGATTCATTCAATTACCTGAGCAGAAGGGAACTAGGTCATCAGGCTTTGACTATTTCCCCAAGGTCAGTGATGGGCAGGCTTCAGAGCTGATTGCTGTCAGTGATTGCTGGTGGAAACACTGGTAGGAGTTATGTGTGTATGGTGGGGCCAGGAATCAACAGAGAAAGCCTGATTAATAACTGGTGTTTACTGAGTTCCTTCTATGTGTGAATCAAGCTACTCTAGAGCCATTCTAGTCTCATGGGGACTAGGGAGATGTAGTTTTATGGAATTAGGTAAGATACATTTACTTTGTTTCTCATGAAAAAAGAAGCCCTTAAGTACCCTGCTCATTAATTTGGAGGAAATCTGATAAGTTTGTGGCCTTTGCTAAACTACAGTAGGAAATTAGATACTTGGAATATTTGGAAACTATCTTCTTATAGCAAAATAAGACACATGGTATCTGACATAAAAGAGGGTGTGAAATAAATGAGTCTAAAAAGCATGGGTCTTTTTATTTAGTCTAAATACATGTACAAGTCAATTGAAAATTGTATCGCAACTCTGTCATTTTAAGTTGCTGAATTTGTTTACCCATTTTTGCACTCAAAAACATTTGTACTGTGTATATTCTTTCTCTTAAAGTTCACAGGAACCATGCAGAACATTTTCAAACCTAAAATTTGTATTTGTGGAACAACTCTTATTGAGCTGTTGATAGGGTGTGGCAAAAGTCATTTGTTATCTATTGTATAGCTGTTTCAGGAATCACTGGGGATCCGATACAATGACCCTTAAAAATATTCATTTCTTAGCCAGGCCCAGTGGCACACGCCTGCAATCCCAGCCGCTAAGGAGGCTGAAACAGAAGGATTGTGAGTTCAAAACTAGCCTCAGCAAAAAGCAAGACACTAAGCATCTCAGTGAGACCCTGTCTGAAAATAAAATACAAAAAGGGCTGGGGATGTGGCTCAGTGGTCGAGTGCCCCTGAGTTCAATCCCTAGTACCCATCCCCCCAAAATACTCATTTCTATCTGTTTGCTCTTATTATGCCCTTTTCCATTTCTGCTTACCCAATGTACATATATTATGCTCAATAATAAATGATCATTAAAAAAAAATTTATGATATTAATGTAGCTCAGAAGTAGAGCTACATTCCCGGCGCTTTTTATTTTTTGAGACAGGGTCTCTGTAAATCACTGTGGTTGGCTTCAATCTTTGATTCTTCTGCCTCAGCTCCCGAGTAGCTGGGATTATAGTCATGCACCACCATTCCCAAATAAAAATGATCTTCATTTAAAAAAATTTATCATTTTAACAAAATGAAGAAGTGGATAAATCACTTTGTTCATCTTTTTGGATCTTCACTGTCCTGCCTGGATTGCATCATGACACCTTTGACCCTTAGTCTTGGAAACTTCATCACAGCTCTGTAAGGGACCGGTGAAACGTCGGAGGAAGAGACCACAAGAGACTGGCTTCATGCAATAAGCAGACGGGGATTTTTATTTAGGATCCAATTCAGCGCACTGAGGCTCTAGGTCACTCAGGAAGGGAAAACAGCCCAGAGCTCAGAGCAGGGGTTGAACAATGCTTAAGTACACTTTTTGGGGGGAGGACGGGGGCTTTGCATACATCACAGAATCCTTTAACAAATCACCTTACACCGCAGGAAAATCAAACAATTCTTAGACTTGATTAGTACATTCATTGGTGGGAACAGGGCTGGTGGGAGTGATAGGTCTTTCCTAAGGAGGGGGTTACATTTAAACTGATTGGTTCGGACCCTGAATGTCTACGTGACAAGCTGCACAGGGTCTTGAATGCTTACATGAGGAGTTGCACAGGACCCCAGGCCATAAATCAACTAAACGGCCAGTAGGGCCTTGTCCTAACTGCCTCAGGAATTTAACCCATGCTTTGCAGTTTAGAAGCAGGTTTACAATGCCTGGTCCTTTACATTTTAACTCAGGCTTTGCAGCTCAGAAACTTTACCCTTTCAG